GAGTATGTGAAGATGGTCAGAAGTTTCGTCCTGCTCAGATGTTTTCAAATACTTTCGTCAGTGGTAACGTACGGGATAAAAACCACGTGAAGAAAAGGAGCTCTGTATTTATCTGAGTTAACAACGATGACTTAACTATCACATTAATAAGACAGACGTCATATACACACCCCCCCCCGAACGTTACGCAAACACACGTGTTCCACACACCCGGAAACGTACATATATACATATATATGTGAATTTACTACAGTTTCATTATATATATTTGTGCCCCATGAGACGTAAATGAGGGAAACGGGTTCAGGTCCTTTTCAGTCACTATGATTACTATGACAAAGGCGGAAGGATAGTTCATTAACAGCCTAGCTTAAGCCTAACTACACTCGGTTCAGGTCAGTCTGCGGTTCAGCACCGTCCGAACGAGACGGAAACCGACGTTTATATTCAAATGTGAAAGATGACTGCCTTTCATATCCTAATAAACAACACAACAGTCCAGCCCGGGGCGCCTCACAAAGTAGCATCCTGATTTTGATGCATATAAAACTCAGATATGCTGAAAAGAAGAAAAACGGCTAGTGTCATCCGCCGAATCAGGAACGCTAGACTTCCCGAAGAAGCTAATGTGGTACGTCTGAAGACGGGAGGGGGGCGTCAGTACAGATACATTCCAAAAAGTTCAGGCAAACTTCTTGATCCTCCTAGTGATGAATGGATATGTGGGCTCTGTGTACATTCTCAATCTTGATTTACATTCTGCTCCAGCCGACGCACTTCAAACCAGCCAAATCATACCACCCGTTTACTGTGAGATGCCAAATAAATCTGCCCGCTGTGATGGACATGAGATCAGCGCTGTTATCCTGGGCTTGGCTTTTAGTGAACCCTGAAGATGCTGCCTTCATGTGGTATCAGAATCACTGTAAATAACCTGAAAGTCATACATGAACGTCCCTTCAATCGTAGTTACAAGTGGGAGACAATTTTTATTTCGGAGTTCCTGGCGTACTAACCTTCCCATATGGATATATTTGCTCCAGTTGAAAACATATGTGACATTTCTGAATATTCAAATATATGCCAATATGAACACGTATATGCCTATATATTAAAACATGCACATGAGTAGATGAAATGTATGTAATAGTGTCCTATTTTAATACCTATATGTCAAACATATCAGGCACATATTGTGAAAGGTATACAAACAATATTTCCTTCACCTTTTGTTTTAGTGGGCAATAGTAGCCAATTCTTCATTTTTCTAAATTCAAATGTCCAATTCTATTCAATTTTCAATTGAACTTTCTATTACAATTCCATTCGTTTTTCAATTTTCAACTGAATTTTCAGTTTTCTATTTTAGTTTTCAATCCATCCGATTCTTTCAATCATGGTTGTAGTGAGCAGTGGTATGTTCTTTATTTTTCTAAATGCCACGTACCATTTCATTTGATTTTCAACTGAATTTTCAATTTCAATTCCAATTCAATTTAATTTTCAATTTTCAATTGAATTTTCAATTTCAGTTACAATTTTATTTGATTTTCAATTTTAACTGAATTTTCAATTTTAGTTTTCAATCCATTGCACAGACGTTTTGTCTTGGGGGGCCAAAGTGCAATGTTTGTTGTGGCCTTTTGACCAAAAGCACAATAATCTACATATAAAGAAGGTAGGTAGATTTCCAGGCAGGAAGAAATTATTATTATTTTTATTTTCATTTTTTTGTTTGTTTTGTTTGTGTTCTGCATAAATAGTCATATCCAGCTCTCTTGCACACACAGCAGACAAAACTGGACAGGACATTTCTCATTTCTCAGATCGGATGTCCGATCTGACTCTCCATTCGTTTTGAACTGAAAATGCCATTATTTTGTTTTTTCCACACATTAAAACTGGATTATTTGGTTTGACAAAAGGACTTTAAGCACAAAGTCGAAAACTGTGGTCTATTTGAAGAGATACTGTGATGTTTATGTTGACTTTTTAAATGGTAAAAACGCTACAAAGATGTCAAAACAGATCAGACTAGCTAACCAGTCGACAAGGTTTAAACTGAAAATAAAGATTTCAGAATTATGGCTTCGCAGGTGGAAAAACTGGACCATCTGATAAGACCTGAAGGCAGCACTCCAGAAGCCCAGGTGGTCAGTAGAACCTCCTCCTCACCTGTAACCTAAACACAGCTCTATGAGTGAGGTTACACAGACGCCTCCTCTGGATATGGATGAAAGAAAACAGGCCAGAGTTTGCAGCCATACTGCTGTGCGAAAAGAACTACATCTCACAAGCAGAATCATGGGTAATGTAGTTCATAGGATGGCCACGCAAGGGTGACGTCCATCTATGAAGCTTTATCCCTGTTGGGTGAATGCTTGGTGATGGTGGAAATAGGTCAGCATCAGTTTCTATGCATGTTGGGAGGAAAGCAAGGTGTGATTATGGATATTTTAGGCTGATGATTGGCTTATCCAGGCTCCTCCCACAAATGTGTTCTTTCATAGCTAATGTCGAGGGTGTTGGACAAGCTTCAACAGTCTAAGTGTTGGCCCTAAAATCTGGAGATCATGATGCCACAGCCATACGTAACTGGGTCTTCAGGAGATCACAATGGTCCTCGTTCAGTCTGGGGGGGTAGGATGGGCCCCCCTCTCCCCCCGACAGTAGCTAAGAAAGGCTAACGTCAAACTCATAGTCATAACAGAGCCCGTCTGTTTGCTCAAGCTAGTGCGCTTACTGATAAAACAACTACTGGCATTTCTATATTCTATATTTTTAAACCTAGAACAAAAGTCTGCCAAGGAAATGAATATTCTGTGGGAAATATTTGAGATGCGTTCTCCACTTTCTCATTAAGCATCCTCATTAAGAAGGACCAGAGACAGGATGATTAATCACATAGGCTCAGAGCATGTGACACACAGAGAAGGCACAAATTATGCTGCTTTAAATAAACTACTGCCAACTGAGACACATGAGGGAAGTACATCTCCGCTTTGCCATTATGCTATGAAGAAAAAGCCGAATGCTGCACCAATCCCAGTGTTCTGTTTAACAGTAACCTGGAGATGCTTCTCATCATAATCAGACAGTCAGTCTGGATTTAGTGATGCTTTGAACAAGAACCATGGTCAAACTGAGAAAGGGAAGTAAAATGACTATAATGCGCTGATACTGCATGTAGAACTACGCTGTACTTCTTTGGTTTAAAAGATTGTAAACAATCTGAATAGGTTTCATACTGCATCTATATTTGCTGTATTGGATAGTAAAAACATGACTGTGGCTGTTAAATGTGTGTCTAGCGTCAGTCCAAAAGCCTGTAGCAATGAGAAAAGGAAGATAAACATGTTTCCAGTGTTTGGGTTCTATAAGTCTGGATGATGTGGCAGAAATCCATTTTAAATGGCCCTGTCCAGGCTCCGCCTACAGAGGTGTAGGTATTGTGATATAAACTGAGTCTGTTCTACAGTTTCTCATTAGGCTGAATGAATAACCGACTCTAAATGTAGGTATTGTGATATAAACTGAGTCTGTTCTACAGTTTCTCATTAGGCTGAATGAATAACCGACTCTAAATGTAGGTATTGTGATATAGTCTGTTCTGCTGTTCCTCAGTACGTTAAGTGGGGGTCTGTAAATCTCACAACAGCAGCTATGAAACACATTTGTGGGCGGAGCCTGGATAGGACAATTCACAGTTCTGACCTGAAGAGTCTGCACCGGTAGCTCTGAGATAAACCGTATTCCTCTAGGAGATCTGGATTGGGCAGATTCTGCAGAACTTTGACCAAGCTTGAAAACTACAAAAACAATCATGTACGACGCACAAATGAGGACAGTGGCTTCCATCCACTCAGGGATGATTTCTTTAATCCGTTTCTTTAACTGTACATCAAACCTAATTAATTAAAAACATAGCAGCCTCACAGCTAAACCAGAACGAGCAGAAGAGTCACAGAAACCGAGAAATGAAAGCTGAAATAAGCTGAGGTTAAGATTTCAGAGGCGATCCTAAAGAACTCTCTCAAAGGGGGGTGACAATTCAGCCCTAACAACACAGACAATAAAGAAGTAATATTCTATTCCTGCATATAAACCCTCAGAAATCTCTCCGCTAACTCTGTCTGCCTACTAGATGATACTGCAGGCTTCGTGATTAAGTCTGAAGTGAGTGAGGATGGTAAAAAGTGAATTTTCGACCATAAACTGGTGCGGATGATGTGTCTGCTTAACCCTCAGTGTGAATATGAACAGTTCTGGCGGGCTGGCAGATATTAGGCATTAGTGGAAGGAGGGCCGCTGCAAAAATGCTCTCTTGGCCAAGTGAAGCATCTTAAATGTTGGCAGTATGTCTGATATTTTTCATTATGAGAGTATAATCAGATTATTCAACCTATTTCTATGGGTGTGTGATGTGAAATGATCTCACTACGGATCTCAGGTGCAGATGCTTAATAAAATGACCCCAAATAGAAGTAGGCCAAACACCACAAAATAGGGTGAATCTTTTAATATTTACATTTATAATATATTCTGAAGATATGTTATGTAATAGGTCTGTTGGTGCATTCATCATAGAATTTTATCATAATGTAAAAATGATTTTCAATTTTTTTGCATTTTTAAAAAGCTGACAATATACCACTTAATTATATATTCATTATAGTATTTATAAGATTACTATATATTATTAGTTATATACATTATGTGATTCACCCTGTAATAAATATTATAAGATGTATTATAAGATATTATAAGAGTATGTTATGATTTGAAATACTGGCTTTTTTAAAGCTATGTTAAAATTTCATGATGAATGGACCAATAGAAACGCTCCAAAATGGCTTAGAATAAAATCCTGTCACTTAAACTTCCTTTCCAAGTTTTTCCTTCTCCTGTAAAGTTACCATTTTAGAGATATGAGGTTTTTCCCCGACAACGACAATGTCATAATAATGAATCTTATTATAATATAAGACGATATGGTTGAATCTTATTCCTAAAAAAATCTCATGGTGAAAAATATTAGATATTTTTCTGACATTTAAGATGCCAAGAGGTCATTTTCTGCAGTGTGGTTTGAGTACGTGTATATGTATATATTTGCACCCACAGCGGACAATATGAGTGTGTTCTAGTGTCGGAGGGTGAGCAGTATAATGCAGGTTTAGGGTTTAGACCCGGTTTTAGTCGTGTGTTACGCGAGGCAGGGCGACCCCGGGCCTGCTCTCTATGCAGCGGAGCGGATAGGGCACATTAGGGTGAGGGCTCGAAGGGCAGTGGAGCTCTCGAGCCTTCAAAATCCGCCGCTTCTTCATCTCCCTCCTCAGCACCACTCCTTCCATCCTTCTCTTTCTCCTCCCCTGCTGGGGGAACAGAGCAGCCGCCTCTAGCCATTGTCCAGTCATGGGTTTTGTAAACGAGGGGACTTGAGATTTAGGCCATTTTTGGTGCCTAAGCCCGCAGTAACCCTCCGTTTCCAAGCGTGGGCGCCGAACCCGGCCTCCGCCCGCCCCCAGGTCCGGCCAGAAGGTTCTGACTGGCGGGCCTCGGGCCTCCGGAGGCATCCGGAAGCAGCCTTTTTCTGAAAAAGGCTCTGGCCCGGTGATGCTCAGGCTGGTTCTGTCCGTAAACGAATCCATGCGATCTTCGTACGCCAAATCGGCCGGAGCCGAGCACTGCTGCAGTGGCCAGCCGCCGCGAGATTTCCCGCCGTTCTCTCCTCCGCCGTCCTGACAAACTAACTCGCTCTGCGAAGTTTCCTCTTCTTCCTCCTCCTCCTCTTCCGGCTCCGCCTCCTCCTCCACGGGCTCCTCCCCCGGCTCCTCCCCTTCCTCCTCCGGCTCCTCTGACGGCGGAGGTGCCCGCGGGTCCCTGAGGAACACCACGATGACCGTGATGTTGTCGCTGGAGCCGGCGTCGCGGGCCGAAGCCACCAGCTTGTGGGCCACCATGGTGGTGTCGCCGTTGTTCTCCTGCAGATGGTCGCTGACCACTCGCGCCGCCTCGTCCGGGTTCACCGTGTCGTAGAAGCCGTCGCAGGCCAGGATCAGGTAGTCCTCGGTGCCATCCAAGGGAAACGTGATGTGGTCAGCGTCGCCGCAGATGTAAGGCTTATGCTCCGAGTCTCCTGCACAAACACGGAAAACAGACGGTTCAGAATTAACGATTGACTTTGGTGGAAGCAAAATTTGAAGACTCCGCCCACAAAAGTGTTCTGTTGTAGCTACTGTCACAAGGTCGGACGAACTTTATAGAACACTGATAAAATCCCATTCTGAGAAACTGTAGAACAGACTCAGTTATTCAGTTTCTACAGTTTCTCATTAGGCTGAATGAATAACCGACTCTAAATGTAGGTATTGTGATATAAACTGAGTCTGTTCTACAGTTTCTCATTAGGCTGAATGAATAACTGACTCTAAATGTAGGTATTGTGATATAAACTGAGTCTGTTCTACAGTTTCTCATTAGGCTGAATGAATAACCGACTCTAAATGTAGGTATTGTGATATAAACTGAGTCTGTTCTACAGTTTCTCATTAGGCTGAATGAATAACCGACTCTAAATGTAGGTATTGTGATATAAACTGAGTCTGTTCTACAGTTTCTCATTAGGCTGAATGAATAACTGACTCTAAATGTAGGTATTGTGATATAAACTGAGTCTGTTCTACAGTTTCTCATTAGGCTGAATGAGATTTGTACCAGTGTTCTGTAAAGCTCGTCCAGCCTAGCAACAGTAGCTACGAAAGAACACATTTGTGGGCGGAGCCTGGAGAGGGCAATTTAAATTTGGCCGTATCATCCAGACATACAGAACCCAAACTCTAGAAACATGCCTACCTTTTCTCATTGCTGGCTGAAACTAAAACTAAATTTAACAGTCACAGTCATGTTTTTACTATTCAATACAGCAAATATAGATGCAGTATGAAACCTATTCAGATTGTTTACAATCTTTTAAACCAAAGAAGTACAGCGTAGTTCTACAGGCAGTATCAGTGCATTATAGTCATTTTACTTCCCTTTCACATTAGACTCTAAGGCCCAGTCCCATTTCACCCCTCGCCCCGACAACTCAGCCCTTAGCCCTCTGTTTTGCGTGTTCTTGTCTAGGGGTAGGGTGTCCTGATTCTTGTTAAGATAGAGGGGGAGGGTGAAGTGTTGGGGCTACATGACCCTCCAAACGGAGGTTTTTCAGAGACTCCAAACAGAGAGTTATGAGAAAAAAAGAAAAACCAGCAAGATGGAGAACAAGAGACCAAAGAAACCCACAAATGTGAGAATTTTCTGTTAAAAATTATGATAACCACTGTTTTATCTTAGTTTAATGTAATTTCGGTGTATTTTGGTCCTTTTCTTCATAACAAGCATTAAAAATCACTAGTAGTGCTGATGTCTCAGTAGCTAGCTTGCTAAATTACCCGTTCCACCTTAAATAGTCCAGCAGTTCTGACGCCTGAAAGGCCAGAATGTAATTGCTGCTCCATTTAAGGTGGAACGGGAACATTTTAGCGAGAATCTGGTGAATATCTGACTTCAGCTTCGTATCACTGAAGAATTAGGGGTGGGTGATAATAAATAATTGCCCCCCTCTTTGAAGTCATATAATGCCCTAAATGTAACTAAAGCCCAGCAGTGAGGAGCTGAACTTTACCCTCCTCTGCTGTCACTGCAGACTGGCAGGGTCGCCTACAGAGCAGCGCTGGTAGCTGTTAATGAAGTGATGCTCTTTTTATTTGAGGGTCCCATTTCAGAGGGAAGAGTTCAACCACTACCCTGTAACTCAGTTCCAAGGGGCAACACTCGAAAACAAGGGGTAGGGGTAAAAGTAAGAAATGGGACTGGGCCTAAATCACCTAAGTCTGCTCGCCTCTAACATGCAGGAGAGCTACTGTGCACTGTAACGAAGCTGCCTGGCGAATTCGTGATTTGGGAAACAGCCCAGCAATCCGAGCCCAGCGCTTTAAGAGAATTAGAGGTTAATCTGATTGAGCTGTCTTTGTATTTGTGGATTGATTATCTACCGGCCATCAGGCCGCGGTGACTCATGAGGAATTTGCCTGTAGGAGGCACAGGAGGTAATAAATAAACAAACAAGCACATAAATAAATCTACCCAGAGGCCTGTGCTGTTTATCAAGCCGTCCCGTGACAAATTTGACAAGTGAGTCTATTTCAGACCAGGAAAGTCCTGAACTCCTTCTGCAGGTATTTTTATGTGTTTTAAAGTATTTTTCCCTCTGCTTTCAGAAGTGTTTACTCTCCTGTGGAGTGCTCTGCTGGTTGTTTTTGAAGCGCTGTAGTGGATAAAAGTCCTTAAAAAGCTCCACTTGTGGATGTAGTGCAGGTTCCAGGCGGTCAGAGAACACAGACTGTTACAGGCTTTTCTGCTGCTGGTCTGATTGGATCTGAACCAGAACAGAGGGGCTCCCTGCTGACATCTGAGCTTCTGTTCAGGCCCAATCTCTCTCTCTCTCTCTCTATCGTTCTTTTTTCTCTCTCTATACTTTCTCTCTCTGTCCATCCTTTTCTTTCTTCTCTCTCTGTCTGCTCTCTCTCTCTCTCTCTCTCTCTCTCCCCCTCCACTTTGTCTCTCTGTCTCTCTCTCTCTCTCTCTCTCTCTTTTTCTCTCTCTGTTTCTCTCTCACTGTATCTCTCTCTCTCTCTCTCTCTGAGGGCAGATTTTAATCAGATAAAGGAGACAAACACAAAAATGAGAGCCCAGCGTGCTGCAGGGAAGGCAGTGCAGTGTTATTAAACATCCTGTGTGTGTACAGTTATAACCTCTGCAGTGTGATGTGTGTTGTGTTTTTTTACCTATAGCTCTCGACACGGACAAGCTGCCGTTCACTCTCCACGTCCCGAACCAAATCACGCAGCCGCCCAACGCCTCGATCCGCTGCTTCTCATCCTACACGAACAAAACACAACATTCCATACGTCACGGCTACAAATATCAGTCAGCAAAACAACCAAACTGCCCTGGACAGACTGTACCCTCAATCACTGTACCCCAACCCCTAATCACTGTACCCCTAATCACTATATCCCCCAACCACTGTACCCCCAATCACTGTACCCCAACCTCAATCACTATATCCCCCCAATCACTGTACTTCTCATCACTGTACCCCCAATCACTGTACCCCAACCCCTAATCACTGTACCTTAATCACTGTACCCCTGATCACTGTACCCCAACCCCTGATCACTGTACCCCTAATCACTATATCCCCCAATCACTATATCCCAACCCCTAATCACTATATCCCCCAAACACTATATCCCAACCCCTAATCACTATATCCCCCAAACACTATATCCCAACCCCTAATCACTATATCCCCCAAACACTTTATCCCAACCCCTAATCACTGTACCCATAATCACTTTATCCCAACCCCTAATCACTGTACCCATAATCACTTTATCCCAACCCCTAATCACTATATCCCCCAATCACTATATCCCAACCCCTAATCACTATATCCCCCAATCACTATATCCCAACCCCTAATCACTATATCCCCCAATCACTATATCCCAACCCCTAATCACTATATCCCCCAAACACTATATCCCAACCCCTAATCACTATATCCCCCAATCACTTTATCCCAACCCCTAATTACTAATTACCTCTCTGTCCGGTTTGTGGGGCTTCATCAGCTCCACAGGTTGTCCTTTCTTCACCAGCATGGCCTGCGAGTCTCCGAGCCAGGCTACATACAATGTCCGGCCGCGCAGGAAGGTCACGACCCCAGTGGTCCCGCAGCGCAGGTTCTGTCTCACACACACGTATGATGTACAATGAAGTGGACAAATACATGAACATACAACACAACAAGGTGAATAAATGTGGGGCATTCGGGTTCTTTCACAGCGCAGGACTTTTCCTTAAAAAAAGCTTTAAGAAATAAGATTAAAGTGGATTCCTATGTAGAGAGAGTGAGAGAGACAGAAAGAGACCAGGAGAGGGAGAGGGAGAGAGGGAGGGAGAAAGAGAGAGACAGAGAGAGAGAGACTGACCTCTCTTGATGCTTTCTGTACGAAGCGCTCGTCGGTCAGTTTGAAGGCGCGGCACAGCGCCTCTCCCGGGTCCTGACTGAACATCTCCTGCCTCACCAGGTTGACGTGCAGGTGATTGGCAGCGAAAGTGGCCGCATCCACTCCACCGTGACCATCAAACACGGCGAAAAACGCCTGCTCCTCCTGATCCTACACCCCAACACAAACACAACACACTCAGCGGAACAGCACAGAGCTGGGCGATATGGCAAAAATATCATATCATGATACTTCGAGAAGTTTTCACCATACACGATATTTACAATATTTATCTTTTCAGATTGATCTAATCAGAGAAAAAAGAACCTACGTTTTAAAAAATACTAGGGGTGGGAATCTTTAGGCACCTCACGATTCGATTCGATTCAGAGGCTGCGATGCGATTACAAAACGATTATCGATGCATCTCGATACATCTTTTTTCTCTATACAGAATTTCTATCTTCCTACTGTCTGAGGACTTGGTAGTTTTAAAGCAAAGTATTTGTAATGATCCATAATGTAAATGCATTATGGATCATTACAAATACTTTGCTTTAAATATCTAAAATATCTTTTATTAATAAATCAAATGGAAGTGATGTGGTATTTTCGAGACTGGACGCTGAATCTCGGCTCCAAAGTGTGCAGCATAGCGCGAAAGTCCTGGTTCTCAACGACTGAGAACAGACAGCAGACAGTAGGTAACACAGCCGCGAGGTCAGGCCTCGCCAGTAACGAACGAAAAAACAGAGATTAAGACGAACATTTGAAGGACTTATTCGCATTTATAAGCAGCGCGGTTGGTTAAATCTGCTGAGAGACTGTCTTTCTCTAAAAAGTTGCGAAAATGAACTCACTTCTCTTTCGAATTTTCCCATTCCACCTTAAATGGTGCAGCAGTTACATTTGGTGCCTCAGTCAGAATTTAAGGTGGAATGGGAAAATTAGAACTAGAAGCTGGCGAATAAGAAGCGACTTCAGCCTCGTAAAACAGTCAAACGCTGAGAGGCATTTTATGAGAAACTGCTCTGCTTTTGAGGAAACGTTTCCTGGTGGAGATGGGAGGAAAGCGGCTAAAGCTGAAGCTTAAGGCAGAGCAGAGTAAATCTGTGCTCTTGCTTATATTTTTAGCCTAAACTAGGACATTAATACATACTGGACATTAAATGTTGTGGCTCCCAAGCTGGTTTGATTTGTGTTGAAAGGTCAAAATGGCTCTTCTTATCATTTGTGTTGTGACTCCTGATCTAACCTGGCTTTAATGCAGAGGGAACCGGTCAGATTTCTCACTCACCCAGTTGTGTTTTTGTTATGTGCCGCCACAGACTGTCCGGGCGCTTCACTTACCCACTTTCAGTTCTGCCTTTTGCGTTCTGTCAACATTACGTTATAAATTAAATATTTAGAAAACCGATTTTGACATTTATGAATCGATTTAGAATCGTTCACGTCCGCATCACAATGCATCTAAGAATCGATTTTTTCCCCACCCCTAAAAAATACTATCAAAAACTGTGAACAAAGTGATTTTTATTCAGTATTTGGCACTAAATCAGTTAAACTGGACTAATTTTGCTCTCCTTATAATGAAACATGCAGTTGGTCAGTTTATACAAGCACTTTCTATTTTATTGAGACATAATTTATTACAATAATGATGTATCTTATCATACTGCACAGCCCTAAAACAGCCTGGGATGTTCTTAAACATAATCCTAAAGTTTGCTTTACTGCTTTATTTTGCTTCTGATTCCACTTTAATGTCACCTATGATGTTTTAACAGCTTTTAATTCAAAAAATCTTAGAATTTCTTCCTTCTTTCTTTAAAAGTAGTTCTGTTAAAGAGTCCATATTCTACATTTTTCTCATATTTTATTTATTTTATTATTTAAAGTCCATTTATGACACTGACATTGATTATTCGCACCCAGAACAGTCTTAAAGGGTTCTTTAGTAAAGACAACAGTTCTATATAAAATGATAAAATGAACACTCAAAGAACCATTTGGATGCTCAAAGGGCTCTTCGAAGGGTGAAATGGTTCTTCAGATTGATGGAGAATGTGTTGTATATGGCTCTACACAGAATCTTTTTGAAAAGGGTTCTACATAGCACCAAAAAGTGTTCTTCACAAAAACAAGGAATTCAAAACAAGCCACGTTTGTAGCTTAGTTTCCACTGTATGGACCATATGGGCTGCTAAGTGACTGGAATATATGAAATATTTAATAATGCATACATACTACTTCAAACTCCTTTGTTTAAAAAAGTGAAGAAATTTAAGGAATATAGGTTTTCGGTGATCTATGCTCTTTAATTTTTGTTCATTTTTAACTGATCTGTATTTTTTCTTCTCGCTGCATTTCAGTTTGTGCATAGAAACACTGAGTGTGTTTACATGCACTTAATCCGATAACTGGAGAAAGTCAGATTTTGTCAGTAATCCGATCAACACGTTTACATGCACTTGAGTAATCAGATAATGGGGAAACTCCAGGTCTAAATGAGTCTGACAGTAATCAGATTTCTGCTTTATAACCAGCCAATAAACTCACAGAAGACGTGACGTAAACGTAACGTAAAACTCTAACGTAAAACTTCATGCTTCATCGTGCCACTTTACCTGAAAATATGAACATACATCATCTAGAAGATGAATATTTATATCCTCTATTTCGTATTTGGTTTCAGCGCCACTCCAATAGTGTTTTGCTGTGTCTCGCAGTGACGCTGCTTGCTTATCACCGATACCACCGTCTGATCTCGTGCATGCTCAGACTGAGAAATCCGAAAGAAATCAGAGTAAGAGTTTACATGCACTGAGAAATCTGATTACTGAGCTAAAATCCAGCCTCTTTATCAGATTTCTTCATCAGATTTCTAGATCGGAGTGTGCTGTTTACAAGACGATTTTAATAATCGGATAACTGCAGAAATCTGATTATGATAAGGTTATTGCGTGCATGTAAACACACAACGTTTGCTTAAAAAGGGCTTGAAAAATAAAGGTTTGTATTTGAAAACCACTCCAGGACGCCGAGCATTGTAATAAAGCAATAATAGTGTCTAATGAAAGTATTAGACGAGCCTTAAAGACCTGCAGTAATGCATCTTCACCTCTTATTATGTTCTTTAATCTTGTAAAACACGAGCAGCGAACCCGAGGCCTCTCCTCTGCAGACGTCTCCCATTCTCTGATTAGAACACGCAGCTGAATTAAATGTTGGTACGATTTATGAATATGCAAATTAAAAGCGTTTGTGTTCTCTCTCGTCGAACGGTTTTAATTATCGGCAGCTTAAGAGTCATTTACTGGCTTACACAGCTGGTGAAACGGGATGAGTTCCTCACTGGTGAGAATAATCACTTCATTACTGAAGGATCCCTCAGCTGTCATTAACGTGTGAAAAGGAGGGAGAATAAAGAGCAACTTTCCCTGAGTGGATGTACAGGTCCACTACTAAAGAGCCCATGTTCTAGATTTTTATCTTTTTCCCACTATCAACATTTCTGTTCAGCTTTAAGCTGAGTGGGTGTGGCTAAAGTACTTTAGATTGCATGGGCGTGGCTAAACTGCTGTAGGCTGAATGGTGGAGCTAAACTGCTGTAGCTGAATGGTGGAGCTAAACTGCTGTAGCTGAATGGTGGGGCTAAACTGCTGTAGACTGAATGGTGGGGCTAAACTGCTGTAGCTGAATGGTGAAGCTAAACTGCTGTAGCTGAATGGTGGGGCTAAACTGCTGTAGACTGAATGGTGGGGCTAAACAGCTGTAGCTGAATGGTGGGGCTAAACTGCTGTAGCTGAATGGTGGAGCTAAACTGCTGTAGCTGAATGGTGGGGCTAAACTGCTGTAGCTGAATGGTTGGGGCTAAAGTGCTGTAGGTTGAATGGGTTGGGCTAAAGTGCTGTAGGCTAAATGGGTGGGACTAATTTTCAGCGTTGTTCACGGGAGCAGGCAGGAAACCAGCCCACTGCAGGCGGGAGCGGGACAAAGCACGCATAAAGAGAAATCATGCAAGTTACTGAACAGCCTAAATAAAGTAGAACGATCAATAAATCACGCATAAACAATATGAAATGATAACAGTACAGACAGTTAAAATGAATGAAGTCGTTCTAAAGAGCTGTGAAGCAGCCGAGCCTGTGATCACGCAAATTCTCGTAGCTTACAGAGACGGTGGAGCCTTCTGTCCGACGGCCACAGCTGCCCATCAAAACACCAGAAATGGCCGCTCTGTGGTTTAATTCCTGCTCTGTGTTTAAATGGTGAATGAACAGCGTTTGGTGAAGTTACTCACAGTGAGCCTGATGACCACGACTGCTGTGTTTTCAGCAGAGAATCATGTGTTTGCGAATAAACTGTGTCAGATACTGGATGTCAGTTCGCTTTGATGGAGCGGGACAAAACCTCTTGGTTGCGGGCGGGAGCGGGACCAATGATTTCGATTTTCTGTGGGACCGGATCAAATCTTGTGGGAGCGGGACTGAAAAAAACAGTCCTGTGCAGATCTTTACTTGGAACCTTGACAGAGGTGATCCCAAAAATAGTACCAGGTGCCAGATTTGCCTAATGGAGAACCAAAAAAGTTGAGTCGAGTCGGTACCACCAGCTTTTCTCCCTGTCTGATGGTAGTGTACTGTGGTCAGTGAGAGTGGTCACTTTATCTGCTTTTGCCTGAGAGCGAGTGCTGCTGTTGTTTAGCCGACAGCACCAGGAAAAACCATTCATTTATCAACAGCCTCCAGCCAGCGCTGACGTACATACCACCACTCTGGGCTCCATAAAGAACTGGGCCAGTGCTTTATTGATTAAATACAATGCTATTAAAGGCCATCACTCCCTGCAGAACTGCCCTCAGCAGTAGATCCAGATAGTGAGAGTACTCGGTTAATTCATCGGCTATTCCTAAAGGAAATTTAAAAGGACGCAGTAAGTGTGACTGGTTTGCATGTCTTGCCATCATGTGATCCAAAATGAATTATTACATATTAACCCTTAAGACTTGCACTTATAATAACAGAAGCATGTTGTGATTTTATATTAATAAATTCTCACGTTTTTCTTTTTATTTATTCTGTGTAAAAGAAACCAGTGTGCATGTAAAATAAGTACATCCACTTCTGTACTGGACTGCTATGTGCAAAGATTGTTAGTATTATTGTTATTTTTTCTTATTATTGGTCTGATAAATGACAGTGATAATGGTTTTGTTATTTAACCACAATAATTTTTTTCAGGCTTTTAAACTGCAACACCTAAAATTTACACGTTTTCCTACCTGACGTGAGTTTGATTGTAGACACCAAAGAAACTGATGAAAAATAACACTTCTGGTGAAATCTGCGATCAGATTTGACTTTGATCAATAAGGGCCATTGTGTGTGTGTGTGTGTGTGTGTGTGTGTGTGTGTGTGTGGTACCTGAAGGTTAAAGAGTGTGTTAAAGTCCGGGATGACCACGTGTCTGTCCTCCATCTTTCTGCGCATGTTTTTGATGGCATGGATGGACGTCTCATAGTACGGCTGGACGCGGCGGCGAGTCGGAATGCCTTTCAGCCACAAACAGCACGTTTCACAGAGCTTATTAAACACCAGCCGGGCCAGCTTCACCGCCTCGATCTCTGCAAGGCAAGACAGGTTTATTTATAGAGCACCTTTCATACACTGCGGTCACTCGAAGTGCTTTACAAATGAGAAAATACACATAATTCACAATAAAACTTAAAGTACAAAAAGTAACGTAAAATAAAGGAGAATGGAAATGAAAATATGACTAAAACATGATTAAAACAAAATTTTAAAAGAAGAAATTAATCATTGAATATTTTTTTGCAGGGCAAAACACAGAAACATAAGAAATAAATTTAAAAAATGTAAACTTATTGAGAGATAGATAAAAAGAACGCAACCTCTGCAGCAAACTATTTACATTTTTTTTCTGCAAATATTCATGCACAGATATTTTATACTTTAATTACTTAAAATGATAACGAAGGAAAAAATAGTAATTGTGACGTGCAAAAGGACCCCCTTTAGCAGACATCACAGCCACTCCTCCTCTCAGCCACTTCTAGTTCTGTAATATTCTTGGCCGTCTTGCACAGCATGTTTAAGATCCACCCACAATGATTCAAGATTTAAGATACTGTATTGTCGTACTTGAGTACTTGAAATTGGGCAACAATAAACAAAAAAACACTGCATAAACAAAAAAAATTAAACTAGGAATAAAACAAAAATATAGCTAATACAAAATATACAATGCAAGACATTAAAGGAAAGACTATATAATTTAAAATGACAAAAAAGTAAAATAAAAATAAAACTATAAAATAATTTTGATCAATCAATAGATAGATAGATTGATATATTGATAGGTAGATAGATAGATAGACAGATCGATAGATAGACAGATAAACAGATTGATCAATCAATAGATAGATAGATAGATAAACAGATTGATCAATCAATAGATAGATACATAGATAGATAGATAGAGATAGACTGATCGATCAATAGATAGATAGATAGATAGAGATAAGAGGAGAGAAAGAGAGAAAGAAAAAGAAACAGAGTCAGAGAGAGACAGTGAGAGAGGTTGTAGATGTTTCTCCTGCTGCAGTCTCCGGAGGCTCAAACTGACATTCTCTATTCTTTTCTCTTCTCTTCTTCTGCTCTCTGCGTCTTTTACATCTCCCTTAGAGACTAAAACACACTCACTCACTCACTCACCTGTGTCTCTACACTGCCCTGCACTCGCACAGCCCTCAGGTAACCTCTCACACTCGAAACTCCCAGAACTGCTTAACTTACAGATCAGCTTCATCCTCACAGTACTGATATAAACTGAGTCTGTTCTACAGTTTCTCATTAGGCTGAATGAATAACTGACTCTAAATGTAGGTATTGTGATATAAACTGAGTCTGTTCTACAGTTTCTCATTAGGCTGAATGAATAACTGACTCTAAATGTAGGTATTGTGATATAAACTGAGTCTGTTCTACAGTTTCTCATTAGGCTGAATGAATAACTGACTCTAAATGTAGGTATTGTGATATAAACTGAGTCTGTTCTACAGTTTCTCATTAGGCTGAATGAATAACTGACTCTAAATGTAGGTATTGTGATATAAACTGAGTCTGTTCTACAGTTTCTCATTAGGTTGAATGAATAACTGACTCTAAATGTAGGTATTGTGATATAAACTGAGTCTGTTCTACAGTTTCTCATTAGGTTGAATAAATAACTGACTCTAAATGTAGGTATTGTGATATAAACTGAGTCTGTTCTACAGTTTCTCATTAGGCTGAATGAATAACTGACTCTAAATGTAGGTATTGTGATATAAACTGAGTCTGTTCTACAGTTTCTCATTAGGTTGAATAAATAACTGACTCTAAATGTAGGTATCGTGATATAAACTGAGTCTGTTCTACAGTTTCTCATTAGGTTGAATGAATAACTGACTCTAAATGTAGGTATTGTGATATAAACTGAGATTGGTTCTCTGTTCCGCTCCTGGGCGAGCAGTCCTGAGGACAAAGCTCTAGTGTGAAAATTCCTTCAGTTTCTGATCAGGTCAGAACATCAGAGCTGCTTCTTGTTTATTGTTTATGTGGTCAGTGAGCTCCTCCTTTAAAGCCTGCTGGTCTCTGAGGGCACAATCTAAATTTAATCTGCCGTCTCAGAGCCGCTGCTGCCCCGAGACACACGTCTGTCTGCCCTCCTTCATCTCTCTGTCCCTCCATCACTCCCTCTCTCCATCCCTCCATCACTCCCTCTCGCCATACCTCCATCGCTCTCTCTCTCCGTCTCTCCTTCACTCCCTCTCCACATCCCTCCTTCACTCCCTCTCCACATCCCTCCATCACTCTCTCGCCATACCTCCATCGCTCTCTCTCTCCATCTCTCCTTCACTCCCTCTCCACATCCCTCCTTCACTCCCTCTCCACATCCCTCCATCACTCTCTCTCTGTCTCTCCATCACTCCCTCTCTCCATCCCTCCCTCTCTGTCCCTCCATCACTCCCTCTCTCCATCCCAACACTGAATCCCTCTATCACTCCATCCCTCCAATTCCATCCCTATATCACTTCATCCCTCCATTTCTCCTTCTCTCCATCTCTGCATATCTTCACCTTCTCCATCTCTCAGCCCCTCAGTAGAAACCCCCTCGAAAAGCATCAGGAAGAACCACTGAGAGGAACCGAGACTCAAAAGAAGAACCTGTCGTCCTCTGAGCTGCAGTTAGGATACAATTCTAGAAGCTAAAGCTAAAGCTAAAGCCAGAAGTCTGTGATGACGATAATATCAGTTAACATTAATCCGGCCCTCACAGATAATCTGCTTATCGCTGCTGCCGTATCAAAACACTGTAACTCTATTTTTAATACATATTATCTGAGGTTGTATTTTAAAAATCAAACAGTAAAAACTGACTTAACTAAACAATAACAAACCAAGTATGGCCTTTCAAAAAATACCAAAATACTTTACTGGGAAACAGTAAGTTTAATTATTTAATGGAGAAATGTTCACTTTATAAACAGTTTTTCTTTATGCGATTACCACTGCTAATATAATGCTCACTTTCACTTGCGTTCCTATGGAATTTGCACTGTTATGTTAGCACCAAGTTAATTGTGGTATTATCCTTGTAATTCGACCATCATCAAAAATGTGGTGGATTTATCGAGTTGTCATGAATTTGAGGATTAATTTGGGTCAAATTAAGGTTGTTTTTAGTGGTTATCATCGTCTTCAGGTCTCTAAAATGAAAAAAGAGAAAAACATGGAGCCGTTTTCTATTACCTGATTTTATTACATTACTGTGACGTCGACTGGAACAAGAGTACTTTTACTGAAGGAGGTCTGTGTTCAGCCTGTTATAGAAGGTGGAATTATTACTAAAGCCGGGGTTACACTGCACGACTTTTACCCCGATTTTATCCCCGATTCTCAGTCTGGCTGAGTCTGAGCTGGTCGGCTCTAGTCTGCAGATGTTTGGGTCAGTCGGAGTCAACAGTTGGAGAGAGTCGAGTCATGTTTGAGGGGCGCTGACTAAGATTTACTGCCTCCCGATCGCATTTCAGACCAGTTGGAGTTTATCAAACCTGTCTGATCTTTTCGACCCGACTCTGAGTGAAATCTAGCGTAAACTGATCAGCGACTCAATCTGAACAGATTCCTGCAACAGCCAATGAAAACTGAGAGAAAAAACTTCTTCACCAAAGAAAAATGGTGAAAAGTCTCTCACGTGTGGAGCGAGGCTTTTTAATGAATTGAATTTAAAGCACGAGCACAATCGAGTTCATGTACATTTAAAACTCTAAAATTATCAAAACTGATCACATTTTAAATCCATGATCCTCAGTTAAACATGTTTACCTGCTGCTTCTTTACTGTGTAGCGCAAACGGCAGAGAAAACAGCAGCAGCTCCACGTTTGTTTATTTGGGTCTCCTAGTAACCGGAGAACACGTGAGTTTGCGACAGTTTGCGTGAGTTTGCGAGAGTTCAGTGAGCTCCATTCGGTTCAGCAACAGCTTTAAAGTTGAGCAGTGTGTGATTTCTAATCGTTCAGTGTGGATCCAAAAAAATCTGCAGAACCCAGTCTGACAGTGTGAGACGCCCAGTCTGTTATAATCTGTCAGGACTTTAAAAGTCGTGTAGTGAAGTCAAGGCTTTAGCAGACTCTACAGACACTGCAGTTTCATACTGGATTAAAATCACAGATCTCCTTGATAATCACTCAAATTACAGCAATGGAATAAAGTAATCCAGCTCTAATAGGGCATAAGACACAATCAAATACATAGTCATTTTTTATTCTATTAACATATATATTATTTGTTTGTTGAATGCATTTCGGTCATAAATTAGCGTATTTCTTCCTTATCACCAAAAAACGTTTATCCACCTCAAGCGAGTGTACAGATTTTTACGCAAACGTTGGAACTTTTATTCAATACTTTGTTGCACATTAAATATTGTTCACATATAAAAATGTGTGGACGGAAACATAGCTAGTAACGCACAAGTGATTAGAGAGGTAGTAGCTCCCCCTTGTGGCCTGCAATTTGAATGATGATGATAATGCTTGTGTTTACTCATGTATTTGAGATTACTGAGTAACTGATACCGGGATCTATTTACAAAATACTGCAATACTGAATTGTATCATGCCGCCCAGCACTGTGAGCTCATAGGATGTCAGTGTTTATGCTGTCGCCAATCTGCTGAACTCTCTCTCAATACAAACACGAATGAACCAGAGGAGTCGATCTGCAGCAAAGACAGCAAAGAGAAGCAAATCTGATGGGACGTGACATTAAACACTCAGAAATAACAAACCTTTACGCTCGAGCACCTGTAACGCAGATGGAGGACGAGCAGAAATCTAAAGCCCGAAGCCAGACGTTAACTCTCTCTTCTAATTCATCTGAAAGCCGTCTGGAGCATTCACAATCGTTCCCTCTTTCAATTCCTTTGCCATTTCTATTCGAATATAGAAAGTTAAGAAAGCAATTCAGGCCAGCGTGAAGTTAGTAAGTGACCTGAATTCGCAGTCGAATAGGAGAGGGTTTAAAATGTGCAGGATGGCCTACATTCGCCGCTAACGCTAGGCTGATCTCTGCATGTCTGCAAAACTTCAGAACAGATTCTCTCCTCGTTTGAGCCTTTCTAGGACTTTAAATCATCATCTTCGTCTTTTGGGGTCACGAGTGTCATCTGAAATGAACAGCGATGTCAAACAATTTCAGACAGCAGCGGTGCATTCAAAGGCACTCTGATGCACATAAAGATGCTACTGCAACAAAACAAGAGCAGGAGAAAACCTGCTTTAATGAAGATGGTGAACTTTTAGTTTATGTAATACAAATAAAACCAGTCAGAAGGTTTTCAGTGTGTGAGTAGGTGATATGAATAAAATGGCATCAGCGTGAACTTTGTGGAAGTTTCATAAGGAAAAAAACTGCTAAACGTTACAACTGAATAACTTAAGCCGGGGTTACACTACACAACTTTTACCCCGATTTTAGCCCCGATTCTCAGTCTGGCTGAGTCTGAGCTGGTCGGCTCTAGTCTGCAGATGTTTGGGTCAGTTGGAGTCGACAGTTGGAGAGAGTTAAGTGGTGTTTGAGCGGCGCAGACTCAGATTTACTGCCTCCCGATCGCGTTTCAGACCAGTTGGAGTTTATTAAACATTTGATTTTTTTTCGACCCGACTCTGAGAGTAATCTAGTGTAAACTGATCAGCGACTCAATCTGAACAGATTCCTGCAACAACCAATGAAAACTGAGAGCGGAAGAAGGAAATATAGCAAGTAAACAAAGAAACATGGCGAAAAGTCTCTCACGTGTGGAGCGAAGCTTTTTAATGAGCTGAGTTTAAGGCACGACTGAGTTTATGTACATTTAAAACTCTAAAAAAAACAATGGATCACATTTTAAATCCATGATCCTCAGTTAAACGTTTACCTGGTGCTTCTTTACTGTTTCAGCACAAACGGCAGAGAAAACAGCAGCAGCAGCTCCACATTTGTTTATTTGCGTCTCCTAGTAACAGGAGAACATGAGAGTTCAGTGAGCTCCGTTCAGTTCAGCTTAAAAGTTAAGTAGTGTGTGATCTCTAATCGTTCAGTGTGGATCCCTAATATTTCAGTTGCCCAAACCCAGTCTGACAGTGTGAGACACCCAGTCTTTATAATCTGTAGTGAACTCAAAGCTTCAGTGGCAAACTGAGTACCAGAGCTAGGCCTTCATTTCGTTCTGTGAACGAACCCACCTTTACAACAATGCTACTGTCTGCTAGCGCCCATATAGGATTTATAATAGTACGTTAGCGTTAAGCTAATGCTGGTACATATGAATTTTTTTGGCTGTTCTAAATTAAACACTAAAGCTGGTAAAAGTCATTAACACATATCTGAGCTTGTATGTATGAGTTTTACAGTGACTCTTTCAGACGCTGCTGTTTTCCATTTCTAACAACCACCCGAAACCTGCTTAGACTTCGGCTCATATTTACAGCCAGTCATGTATCTAGAACCTCCAGAAGAACTAGAGTGACATTTTTCTCACATAATTGGTCCAACTGCAATGTGTAATCTAACATGTAAGGCCTTCAGTCCTGCTCCTGAAGTCCTAACCAATGGGAGAGCTCGCTTGGCTGTATCTACCCAGATACCACAGAGAGAACAATCCTAATCCTAATTTTCTGTTGGGCGTTTCAAGATTTTAACCCTTTCATTTCCAACCAAAACCTAACAATGAAATAAAAGCATTACTACAATATGTGCAGAGTTTAAATCAACAAGCGTGATGATACTATTAAGTAAAAATAGACTAAAAATGTATTTTTTAGTTCCCAATCCTTTCCCTAAAGGCCTAAATGGTGATTTAAATATAATAACTGAATGTGATTTTGTGTTCGGGATGTACAAATAGGTTTATGTAATGGTCTACAGTGTTGCTTAAAGGAAACGTTTGGCAAAAAAATTGAATTTATCCAGTTTTCCCCCTCTTACCCCAAATGTAGCTCATCAGCCAAGACTTTTTTGGTGTCTGGAGTTTAAGTGCTTAAGTTTTAGCACTGTGTTTTATGTTATCAATAAAAAATGGACAAAGGCACAAACTTCAGAACAGCTGCTGCTGCTGTTTTTAGTCATGCTAATGTACTTTAGTCCATGTTTATAGATATCAGTGAGTCATACAGAGTCATAAACCACAAGTCTATCAGAGACACTGAACACCTCCACACAGTTTAAGGCGAATGAGTGATAATTACTTGCTAGCTACATTAGCCTCGTAGCTCCAGGGTTTAAAATTGGTGTAAGGTTGCAAATCAGGCAAATTTAGCGTTTGGCCAAACCATCACTTTAACCATTGTTTACCTGGCTCACCACACACCTGCTCCAGGTAATCAATGTTTATGACTGTTTGGTCCAAGCTCAGCTTTGATGAAGCAAAGACATGGACCATGCGGGCTCTCCGAATTGGGAATCTGGCTTAGACAGTGGATTAGCACGAGGAAGAGTCGCGTAATCTACTCACGAGGAAACGTTTCTGTGCCGTCCTCAACGTTTTTGTTGAGGTAATACATGGAGAGGTCACTCTGCAGGATGCTGTCAGCCGTCCCTCGAGCCAGAGCGGCGGCCAGCGTGAACGGGCAGTTACTGAAAAAGAGAAATGCAGATACAAACAGAGAGTTATATGTTTGTGCAGACAGCACAGACATTTTAGGAGGCATCTCAGGTGATCTGGGGAGAGAAAGAAGCACTACACTGTTAAAATAATAACAAAAAAAAATTAGACAATGCACCGGAACTAAATGGCCAGCACTCTTTCCGCACAGTCAGCAGATAATTCTGAAAATCATGGCCTATATACACCGGTCAGGCATAACATTATGACCACCTCCTTGTTTCTATTGTCCATTTTATCAGCTCCACTTACTATATAGGTGCACTTTGTAGTTCTACAGTTACAGACTGTAGTCCATCTGTTTCTCTGCATACTTTGTTAGCCCCCTTTTACCCTGTTCTTCAGTGGTCAGGACCCCCATGGACCCTAACAGAGCAGGTACTATTCTCAGCACTGCAGTAACACTGACGTGGTGGTGGTGTGTTAGAGTGTGTTGTGCTGGTACGAGTGGATCAGACACAGCAGTTTCTGATGGCATCTAAGTATGGATATCTATGGTTCTGACCACCTTCCCCCACCAACCATCTGTGGGCCAGTGGTTACAGAGAAAGAAAAGAAGCCTGGTGTCTAGTTCAAGCAAATAGCCAGTTTAAAAAAAACTAAAACTATTTTTTTTTTTATTTATAATTATTATAAGTATTCAATGGCAAAATGTTAAGTAGAAATTAAATAAAAACACTGCTGGCCCACAGATTTGCTGAGATTTTTAATATGGCCCTTTAGTGGTTGAGCTTGACACCCCTAATCTAATGGTATTGTGTGTTTTCCTGATGGGTTCATATCACAGTTTAATGGACTCTAATGGTTGAACAGGAGTTCCGGGACTGATTCTAAATGCATTTGATAGTTTCCTAATTGGATCTAAAGCTGTCCTACAGAAAGCTAGTGGTCTCTAATGTAACCTAATTCCTATTAGAAAGCAAAACCATCAGGTTTTAATCCTAATGGTCTTTTTTTCAGCGGAGTCTTTGTTGTAGTGAACTTCAGTGAACTGTATGGAGCATTTAACAGGTCCTACGGCACTGTAGGTTGGTTTTTAACCGTGCTTTATGATCCTCTCGCTGCTGTACAGGCCTGGACACTCAGGAGAGGCTCTCTCAGTGCTCACCTCATCCACACTCAGCACAGCTCTCCGCTTAGATAAGTGCTGGGTACTTGTGGCTTTGCTGAAAATAGCCGCGATTACAGTACATATTATGAAATCAGGGCCTGACACTCCACTTTCAGCTTCAGCAGGATCTTTACAGTGTTACATAAGAACTGATAGCCATGTTGGCAACCAGCGTTTCCGCCGTGCAGACAGGGGATCCCTGCAGAACGGAGAACAGCGTTCCGTGCTGAGGGACAGGACTGAGGGTCCACATTTACAGCCAGACTAAAAAAACAGAATAGTGTTAATTAATGAAGACGTTTTAACCCTTTAAACTCTACAGGCCTCACACATTAGCTTCACAGCAGATACTGAACAATTCATAACTAATACACTTCAACTCATAGTTGTTACTGAATAATTCATAACTAATAGAAAATACTTTTGTGGCACATATTGAATAATTTGTACTAGATACTAAATAATTCATAACTAAAACAAAATAATCCATAGTAGATATTGAATAATTCATAAACAATACAAAATAATTCACAGCACATACTGAATAATTCATTACTGATACAAAATAATTCATAGTAGATACTGAATTATTCATAACTAATGCAAAATAATTAATAGTGGACACTAAACAATTCATAAATAATACAAAATAATTCACAGCAGATACTGAATAATTCATTACTTATACAAAATATTTCATAGTAGATACTGAATAATTCATAAATAATATGAAAAAATTCACAGCAGATACTGAATCATTCTTTGCTGATACAAAATAATTCATAGTAGACACTGAATTATTCATAACTAATGCAAAATAATTCATAGTAGATACTGAACAATTCACATTAGAATAATAATAAGTCTTGACATTAATAACTGAGTAATAAGCTGCCACTTAAGAGGTTAAACCTTCAAAGGTATATTCCACCATTGTTTATCCTAATCTCTATCTGCTGTATCTGTAGCATATAGTCAATAATAAACAAAAGTTTATCAATTACACACATGCTCTAATGAAGCTGCTGCCATATGAATAAATATCACAAATAAATGACTTTGGGTGCGAAAGGCCTTCACATCAAAAGGCCACTGAACTGTGAAGTACATTCATGTGTAAAAATCTACGAATTTTCATCAAAATAAACACTGAGAAATAAAGGTGGGCGATATGGTCAAAATCTAACACTGCAATATTTCCAAATATTTTCACGATACACGATATGTCCTGATATTTTTTTTAGACTTCTGATCAGTTGGAACAGACAAAAAAGAACCAGTAGAGCTTTTAAGCTTTTAAAACATTTTAAAAATACTATCAAAAACTGTGAACACAGTGATTTTCACTCAATATTTGGCACTAAACTGACTAATTTTCTCTCTTTATAATGAAACATGCAGTTGGTCAGTTTCTACAAGCACTGACGATAAACACCATATGATCAGAAGAGCATATTGTATTGTATTATGACATAATTTATCACAATAACAACATATATTGTCATTTTGCGCAGCCCTACTGAAAAACCATGTTATCAACAGAGCAGTGTGGAAGGTTTTTGGATCTGCTTTAAAGGGTTAACATGAAAGTAAATAAGAAATGACCGAATGCCAGACGTGCCAAGGCAGGACGATGGGGCTGAGGTGCGACTTCCCTCATTAAAGACAGGCCGATCTAAGAAACGGGAAAAGTTATTATTTATCCTCTGCAACCAAAATGTCCCGAACCCAGCGTGTTCTGTGTCAACGTGCCACCACCATCACGGCTCCGTCTGCGAGCGCTCGGCTCGGCCTGCCAACATTCTGCTGAATTAATAACGTCAGCTGTCCACATTTTACACAGCATGGTGAAAACCCGCTAATAATCTAGCCCTCTAATCTCTCACAGAACGGACACGCGAAGGACGAGCGCTCCTCTGATTTACTCCGTGTAGGCCGTAAAAGCCACGTTTCATAGCCATGTTTCATTACAACGGAAAAGCTAAAGATCAGACTGAACAATATACTGAACACGGACTCGGCAACCCAAATGTTAAGAGGAACCCTTTTGTCCCATTTCAGCAAAAAATCAAACCACCTTGTGAGCCACAACAATGTATGTCCATTTCGCTGGTGTAACAGTTGAACATCTTAGCTGTAAATACGTCTCAAAATGTGCTAATATCCTAGTATAGACTAAAAACTAATAATATAATATACAACAGTTAGTTCCGGCCACGCAAGCTGATTGGTTGAGAAGCGTTCTAACTGCTGTTATTTCACCATAACATCACGTTTTCTCACAAACACTGTATCACTTCGCTGAGACTCTGTTGCTAAGCAACGACTTTGACAGCTGTAGGAGACGCTCAAGCCATTTGAACGTTTTTACTTCGTACTTTGAAACAAACAGAAAATGGACACTTTTAAGATCACATTTGACCGACAGCCGATTTGGTCAGACTCTGAAGATGAGACCACACTAAATTCCCAAACTGTCATCACCACTGAGCAGCTTTTCAGTCGGCAGCTGTGACAGAAGAACAGCTAAACAACCTGGAATCAGCCAGAAATGAACCCAACACCATTCGCCAAACTAAATGGGCTGTAAGATGCTTTACAGACTGGCTGGAACAAAACAACTTTAATAGTGATCTGGCAAAAACTGACAAAACTGAGCTGAACTTGATATTGCAGCAGTTTCATGGCTCAGTCTGATTTGGTCAGACTCTGAAGATCAGACTACACGTTTGGCGAATTGTGTTGGGTTCATTTCTGGCTGATTCCAGGTTGTTTAGCTGTCCTTCTGTCACAGCTGCCGACTGAAAAGCTGCTCAGTGGTGATGACAGTTTGGGAATTTACTGTAAGGAGCTGGAGAACGAACTGCCGGCTGTGCAGTGAGTGGGCGGAGCTCGTTACTCTGACGTAGCAACAAGCTGCTCGTTAAGGAACTATAATTTGGTGAAGGAACTGCGAACATTAAAACATATTAAACGCCGCGTTCACGGCCCAGTTTATTAATTTATCACTTTATTTAACTGTTGTATAAAAGCAATAGAACACTCGAGGAGTGTGTTATCACCAATAACATCACGGCTGTGATGATCTACGATGACCAAATCACAGCTGTGATGTTATTTCGCGATAACACACATGACCTCTCGGGTTCTACTGCTTAAATATGGTATAATATGTGGTTCAGATAATGTGTGTGTAATATAACATAATATAATATAAATGAAAACACAGACTTACTTTGCTCTGCTTTAAGCTTTAGATCAGCTATAGCTGCTTTTCTCGCATCTCCGGCAGGAAACTTTTAAACAAAAGTAGAATAGTTTCTTGTAAAATGTCCCTCAACATTTGACTTTTTAGTGTTTGTCAGTTTCTCATTGCGATTAAACGTATCAGGAAACCAGCTGGAGTGATTATAAACACAAATGAGTCCATTCCTCCCTAAATTATTGATGTTCGTCTTAAATCTCTCTCTTTGCCGTTTCGTTAGCTACTAGCTAGGTGAGACTGTTGTCTGTGTTGCTATGGTGACCAGCAGTCTGTGCTGATCTTCAGGGTTAAAGGGTGAATCAGCAGTTCTACATTAACTCCAGAGTTTAAGACCATTTATTGTTAAACTGTGTTGAACGATCAGCAGAGCTTTATTTTACTGTAAAGGAGGATTATTTTATTTTTACCTACTAATCTGATTCTGCTGTGGAGCCACAACAGGGCAGTAAAAGAGCCGCATGTGGCTCCAGCATATTCAACATATTGGGACCTTGGAAAAGGCACATTTTGAATATTATGTTTTTCCTTTATGCCAAAAGCAGCAAATAAACAGAATCTGCGCAGTAAAAAGTGCAGAAAAACATCCTGTTTAAGTG